AGCCTAATTTGTTATTTTCCTCAAAATTTATTTGTATTCATATACAACGCTTTGAAGTTGGGAAATTCTGATGGCAGATATCGGCGTTTCAACAGCTGCTATTTTTCGGTTCACATAGATTAAAAAATACCTTTAAAGCAAAAGTTCTTCAGAATCAGTTCTTGTCGAACATCTCCCTGACCGACCCCACATATTTCATTTAGATTGAGACCGTATTCATATCGTACAAATCGGAAAATAATGTGGTCTTCGAAAGCAAGCCCATCATATTTTTCGAATTCCGGTGACTTTCTGCGAAAAAGAGTAAAAGTCATGAATAATAGCAACACGGACACCCATGATTGGCTTTGTGTTTTCCTTTTCTTCTTCAAACGTTTGCGCGCAAAAGTGAAAATGCAAGCGCTGCGATATAATGCTCCAACCCAATACAAATTTCAGGCGATGAACTCATGACTCTTTCAAACGCAGTTTTTTTAGAAATAGCTGGAGATCATAACTTCTTCTATTTTCAGAGAAATTCGAGAGAGGGAGAGAGAGGAGAGAGAGAGAAAGTGGTGAGAAATGAAAAACAAATTACTAAACCCTTTGCTAGGTACAATAACGCTCGATACAGATAAACGTACGAATTAACCTTGAAAAACCTGCCTCCCTTCCAACAAAAAGCTTCGAATACGGCTATCAGTACTGTAAAGGAGGGACAGGGGTAGACCAGTGATTAAAGCCAACCAAATAGAGAGGACACTAGTCGTGTACAACCCACTGAACACAGGTGCCCCCAAAAAACAGATAACGTAAAAGAAGGCAAACTGTTGCAGCAGTTTTTGGGATCGCCTCGATAGGGTCTGCGTAGGCTACCTACTGAGGCAATCCACTCAAACATTTTGTGAAAAAAAAACATCAGAGCTCCAATCTCAGACATTTCCGAAAAGTATTCTCAACGAACACAACGCCTATAGTTCATATAACTCTAAAGGCGGTTGTAGATAACAATTTATGCAAATTTGACAACAACTTTCACAAAACAACTGTGATGAATGGATCAATGAACAAAATGAATGCAATGCATGTATTAATGAGCAACAAAAGCTTGAGAAATTGAGCGAAGTGGTCTCGTATATTCACATTCTATCACAATTTGCAATCCTATTCAAAAATGGAACTTTAGCCAGAGCACTGTCTAAAAATAAATTCTATCTACAAAACAATTCATTTGACAGAACAGACGAACGATCACGATCCTCGAAATGTAAACCAAGGTGGCTTACGGTGGTTCTCTTTCCAACAATTGCTTTTGACAGCAAGAACACAATTCATTCACTGTAGCATTCCCGTTACACATCTATATATCAGTCTTTTCAGTAGTATTCTCCACATCCATCATTTCCAAAAAAGTTCTCCATAACTATCCAATCTCCACACATATCTTATTGCCAATCGTTAATAAGAAATGTTAACAACATTGTCTCGAAAATAGTCAAAACATTTTAGAATTTTTCCAAAATTTTGGCCGTTCCAATTCCTCCCACGCCTTCATAGAAGACTCGAAAATCTTCCGTTCAACGGGTACATAGCCGTACCAAAATCCAAGACGTACATTTCTCCTGACGATCCTGGCGTGTCTCCGTCTCTCTGTAGAAACAAGGCCCACATTCGGGCCTCCACGAGTCCAGACTCAGGCCGTCGACAGATTGCCCGCAAATCGGCAGGACTCCACTGCGTGGTTTTCTCTTAGTCCCAGCAGGAAAGCAAGTGTTCATGCTAGCATCAACTTCGCATAGGTGCACGACAGAACGTTGAGGTTATGCGCCTGCGTCAGTCTTGACCTAACCAATGGACCGCTTTGGATAATGTGCACCGAGTCTAAGCCCAACAGCAAAACAGTTTTCCACATCGACGAGCTACGAACCGGTCATTGATGCAGTGGAGAAGCATCGACTATCAGTCCTCAATGAACCTAACAATGAGTTGTGTTCCGAATCGACTCATGGAGCTCTCATCAATACAGGGTTCGATCAGTGTATTATTGATTATCCATGAAGTGTACTGGTAAGGTTTGGTATACATAAACGTTATATGAAGTACGTACTATGAAACGGCTCGACCATCTAACCAAAACTTCTAAATTTACTTCTTTATCAACTTAAAATTTAACAACCCGTTTCGCGCATAGTTTTCATGGCATCGAATACGAATAATCCGCTAAAACTTACGATCACTCTCCATTCAGAAAGTTTTCTTGAACATAAAGGGGTGGACGTATACTACTGAAACGCACTGTATACAAAGGTCATAGAGTGAAAATGCTTTATCGGTATCTAAACAGTTTCCGCATGAAACTGATGAACGCTTTTAAGCTGGTTCAGAGTCCGCCGCAGGTTTCGCTGATTTTCGCGATATGAGCGATTTTCGCGATTTGCGCGATTCACGCGACGGATCGCAAAAATTACAAGTGCGTGAACATTTGAAACACTGAATATGAAATAAGTGGAATCATGAGCAGTCGTCATTCAGCTATCGGTATCAAGCAGAAGTGGCGGCAGGATACGAGAAAACCTTGCAGTATTGATCGGGCACTTGGGATTTCCGTGACCCGTCGCGTGAATCGCGCATATCGCGAAAATCAGCGAAACATGCGACGAATCGCGGATTCAGACACCAGGCTTGGATGGAAAACAAGACCAAACCGAGAATTCAACGATGTCACTGGAGCAGGGGGAGGAGAAGGAAGAGCATTCCAGAAAAAAAAACCGTTGCAGAATTTCAAAGACAGGGCATTCTGGAGGAAGACCTTAGTCGTCTCGAAGTAACCGCACCCTATTTGCTATTGATGTTCACCAGATTCAATTTGTTGAAGGTGAATGGTATGAAAAATCGTTACCCATTGAAGCTGAAATTAGAGGCGGGAGAGGGTGCACCGGACCAGAAAAATCTGAAAGAAAACGAATTGAGACCCGAGAAATGGGACCCCCTTTTTCCCGCTGATCCGCTTTGGACAAGCCAGAGATCGAGAGTCGGCTTATTTACACGTATTGACCCGAATTGCCGGTATCATACCAATAACTACCATCCTTCCACAGATAGCGCACAGCCTAGGAAAATTAAAAGGTACTACCTCCTAACATGAACTGCGCCTCCGAAATTGAGAGCAAGGAACGGCAGAGCTGGCAGCGCTGGCCAACGGTGGGGTCAGCCACGTGGCGATGCAGCTCTCTATTCACTTTTTCAGGGACATAACGTTCTTTTGCAAGATGCAACCCTCCCAATCTTCCATATCCCATTTGTCGTAATATCCTGAGAGAAGTATCCGTAAGGATGGCCTTGTATGATTTTCGAAAATTATTACGGTATCACCCAAAGTTGACCTCATCCAAATCAATTCGGTATAGTTCAATTCTATGAACGCATAGAGGTCCGTCGGAGAAGATTTCCTATGTAACTCCAAAGACAAACTTGAAAGCTTTCATGCTTTACTTGTAGAGCTGGCTCTACATTTAGATCTCCTCCAATAGAAGACTCAATACTGCCGTTTACTCGCTCAGTTTTTTGTTTCCATTCAAAAAACGTCTGGGGACAATATTAATGGTTTGATTTGTAGTATTAAGATACAATTAGACTTGTAATGTTTTGTTTATTATCGTCGATTGCGTATTTCCTTTCTAGGGACGTTCCTCCAAATAAATAAATAAATGACCCAAACCTCACATCACCTCAGCATTAACACGCGTACTCATCAGATCCAACAAATAGCACAACCCTCCCCTCGACGATTTAGTTGTATCCCGTCTGAAACCTTCCGTCACTTAATGTCAGCCACCACATAAATATTGCTTCAAAAGCTCCAGAACAAAAAACATCACCAGAGAGCGCAAGACCATCTAATATATAAACGGCACGATTTCTACAAACAATTTCACGAGCACTTAATTAAGATACATCTTAGCCGAGGAAAACCCTCGTTTCATCGGAAAATAGGTCCCATGCCGCGCGGGCAGCCGAGACTGTTCTTATCTGGTCCGGCAGCTTCTGATACATTGTGAGATCATTAACAGATCCTAGGTTCAATATAGGAACAACGAACACTTTAAACTTCCGGAAACAACTATGGATCTTTAAACCATTAGACGCAAGAAATTATTTGAATCAGATATGCGAAAATTACGTAAGCCTGAACATCGAAAAGTGGTATAAAATAAATCTACAAGATGCACCTGCAAGAAGAATGCATGCCTCTACGTATGATCACGATAGGTTCTCTTCAAGTATGAAGGCACGCAGAAAGGGCATGATTTCTTTCAGTACTTCAACGTCAGCGCCATCTCTGTGATTTCCAATAGATACAGGGCCGGTCGCCACTAAATAAATGAGTCCAAGATAGTGCGCGTACTATTACCTAAATAAATGAGTCCAAGATAGTGCGCGTACTATTACGTGAACATGAGGAAAATAGAAAACAAGATACGGGGCCATTTTTGGGGCACTGCATTTGAGCGCGTAAAAGACCCTTCCTTATCAAGAAGGGGATTCAGCCTTAGGTAGGGGTGGAGAGATTCCAGGGTGCGTCAGCAGTTTACATTTTTCCAAAGTTCTTGTCCCCTCCAGGGCTTGAAGGATGCCCTATCTTGCGGCAGCACCGAAAAATGCTTACAGATATGTCAAAACATCAGCCAATAACACTGCATGCCGTCTATCGAGTTCTGTGCGTGAGCCTCCATAGCCGATAACATCATTGATGATCGATTAAGAGGACGTGCAAAACAAAGTTACGCTATTTTTTAGACCCCACCTGTCGAAAATGAGCTTATACAGTGCTGCTGCAAAATGGAAATTGGAGCTCACATTGACTTCAAGAGCGAAACGAACGAGAACCATCAACCAGGAAAAGCTCATTTCGCAAAAAATCACGCACCTTCGAATGAAGAATAAGGAAAGAATTCGAACTCGATTTCAGCAGCAAGAATGCGTTGTTATATTGACTTCCACAGATTGCCTAAACATTGAGCCTAACATAACGATGAAGACTCAGGAGGGAATGAATACCTGAATCAAGAACAAACCCAGCGTTGTAACATCAATCCGCACTTTCGTCTATCGTGCCAGCCTCTGGTCCCGACTATCCATCAATTTTGCAGAGTTCAGAAATCTCAAAAAAAAATTCGCTATTGGAAGCGCCAGGCCTATTAAGGTGATACCAACTCACGGCTTTGACAGCGTTATTTATCTCCTTGATTCGTGGTACTCCTTGTGGGATGTTCATGGACGCTACATCAGCATCGTGGAATGCCTTCAACGCCATTTGCGTGGAAGGCTCACCTGAGAAGGAAAGGCACTACCCAAACTCTACTAGTCATTCCCGAAGTAATAAATCTCACCTATATTAGTGGCTGCAACGCCATCTACGGCTGGTCCCAGCTCACGACAGCCTTCCTTAGCTTGAGACAACACGCCTCCAGAAAATACACAAATTGTGAAAGGGACACGCAATGACCATGAAGCTGAGCGCCGTGACAAAAAGTACGGATAGAGCAATGGGTAGCAAGATAAAGTAGAAAACGAAAGATGTACTTACCCTTCTGCTGGCTGATGCACTGTGTACACATACCCTGGCGATTCAGAAGGATTCTGAAAGCACATAAATAATGGGTGCTAACTTAGTTGGGGGGGCACGCGGCGGCGCGACAGTCTGCTCGCCTGGCATGTTCGGAAATCCGTGGGCCAGGGGGAGTGTAGGCAGTCTAGGGGGGTGGGGGGTGAGGGCACTCACTTGACAAGCGTGAAAAGCTGGAATGTTCGAGTTTACAATGTCTCGCTCGAGAGAGCCCTGGTGAGCAGACTGCCGCACCGCCGCGTCCCCCCCCCAACTAAGTAAGCACCGGATAATGGTCATCCGGTTCATTAAATGTAAGGGTTAATACTGTAAAAAGTAACTCCACACTGAACCTGTAAGACTGTCGCAACTGTGAGCGCAAGTTAACGAGGACTGGTGTGACCCGTTTCATGCAGTTCACCACTGTTGTTCAACGAGTCCGTTCTCAAACCTCGACTACACGAACCTCTCAAAATGAGCACAGCACGAAAATTTGGGGAGGGAAGAAAAGAATTAGATTGGGTAAAACAGTGAACCTAAAAATATAGGGGGGGGGCGAACGAAGAGTAAGTTTGGCTTCCGTAAAGAAGTAAAAAATGAAACAAAAAAACCGTCGAGGTTGGATTCAAAATTCGAGAGGGCAACTACAACCTGGTGAACAAACAGTTCAATTGAAGCTTGGGATACTTGTTGATGCCGATAGTCGAGGTTTGTGGTCATTTAGAGCTCAAAAACTCGCAGTAGCACAAAAAATACGTAGCTTGCTCATGGGGCCACGCCCCTTTTTGCAACGCCCAACTCTCGCTCACAATTGGGCAAAATTATCCCTCAGAGCAGTTTTCCCATAGAAGTTTGCCTTTCACAGTGCCAAATATAACTTCAGCTCTTGGCATTCGTACTGTATATTGTTTCCAAGAGAATTCTAAATTTGGAAGGGAACTCAGGTTTTGAAGGGAAGGAGGGCGAAACCATTGGATGTTTTGTGTCCAAGAAAATTTCCGCTACAGGGTGTTCCCCAATAGGCCCATCGCGAGGCGAAGGAAGAGAAGCAAACGCTGCAAAGCACGAGTCGTAACGCATACTGTAGCGGTTAGGCGTCAGGTTAAAGGACGAATTCACGATCAGAGAGAAAAATCGAATTAGGAAGAATTCACCTGGTTGAGGGACCCGCGGAGCTCCTAAGTGTGCGAACTGAAGCACAATTTGCACAGGAGTAGTTGACCTCGTTGACCTATTAAGGTTTAATACCGCCGCGGCTGGTCAGTGCACGCCCACCGATCATCTGATCACTCGCCTTAGTTCAATACGTGGTGAGCGATTAGATAGGTGAGAGAGCGTAGCGTTGAAGAGGACACAGCGATGATAGTCGCATCAATGCTCAAATCAACGGGCAAGGAAGGGCTATCATTTCTCGGGTTCTGGGCCGTTTCTAAGGTTCTTCCTTTTTTCGTGTACCACTCACGATCCCTAAGTTAATTTGAAATGGACTGCTTTTTCATCGTGAATTCGTCCTTTAAATAGAAAGTACCGTACTACGTCTCTCGCACAGCACGCACTGCGACTCGTCCCCTTGGTCTCTTCCTTCGCTGCGCGATGGGCCTTTTGGTAGACACCCTTTCGCTACACTTCAAATTCCTTCCCATATCTGAGGGCTATGAGAAGACGACGAAGCCCTTATTAGTAATTATCCTCAGCCTAATAATGCAAAACCCATCTAATAGGAGTAAGAGACAACATTCTCGCTGACACTTCAATGCACCACGTGATGCGAGTAATCCCCTAACCCCACCTTGGACTACGGTATCAGGGAATACGAACAGAAGCCCGAGAACGAGTGGCCAGTGCAATTCATTTCATTGTGCGCTTTTCAAGCTTTACAATAGCGCAATATTATTTATTAATACAATATTTCTTCCTCACTTCGGAAGAGAAATGTGTCTCCTTAGTGTCAAGATGGTAAGCATACGCAAAGCATACACTCCCAGAATTATTGATTGGAGGAATGCACAGATTGGTGAAGTATCCCATCCTCGACCCCAATCCTCACTCAAGCGAAGACCCAGAGGGTTCGTAACTACTTCTTTTCTTGCCGCATTTCCCTCAACTAAGAGGGCACCGTGAGTCACTACAACATGGTCTTAGGAAGGCATGTTCCTTTTGTTCGACTACCTTGCAAAGCCTGTCCTGACGAAAACGTGTTGGAGTTTCCGGCGTGACATCGTTTCAGTCAATTTTCGAGAATTCCTGCTTCGTGATCCTCCACTCACAGTCCCAGTTATTCAGTGGAAACAGGTCAAAAATGCTTACATGCTTACCTAGCATTACTATATTGCTTTTCCTTCAATGATACATAAAATGGTAAAATGAACTCACTGGCAGAATTCACACTGTCTTTTCTTCATCAATCTACCACTGCTTGAAAAGGCCACGACGTCATTCGGGCGAATCTTACTTCTGAAAAAGATAACGCTTTTCTATCCAAATTCAAATTCTATTCCAAATTTCTAAAGGGGTTCAATTCTCTATCAGTTCCAAAATGTGGAAGCAAACGCACCCGCAGATACTGCAGATTTTTTTCCCTTCTCAAGGTTTCTCTTTCTTCTGGTTCTTGCACAGAAATAGAAAATAATGTAGCACAATTCTTAACTCGATCATTGTGGAAACAGCGTTAAGATCATATTCATCATTGCGACCCCTGAGAGGAAAAAGTTGACATGGCACATTAGCCTGCTGGTCGAGTGATCCTACGAAAGCAGGCACAGGCAAAAATTGAAAGAGAAATCATGAAAAAAAAAACATGATTCATCCCTCATATAATTGCTTAGCATTTTTGAAGGCCATTCGGATGGTGTAGTTTCCTTTTGTTGGAAAAATGTGAGATTTACTTCTATTCTGATTTCGGCTAGTGTTTTTTTTTATCTTTTTTTGTTCACTTTATTCTAGACTAGTTTTATAATAGAACCTGCGGCTCCAACTTTTCATTGTAACGCGCTTGTATGTAGAGCGCATTCGATAAATAAAAATAAATTAGTAAAATCCCCAATTGGTTTTCTTCGTTTCCATTGCTAGAGCCAGCTGGGTCATGTGAACAAAATGGTAACCGACAGGAGGCCTGTCGCGCGGTAACAAGAAGGAGGCAGCGGACGAGTTGCAGCGTATATATGCGACGTAGGAACTACAGTAATCCTACGTTCTATTTAACTTGACGCGAAGTCACTGCAGTCCGCGCTGCGACTTGGTCGCTGACTCACTTTCCTGTCGCGCTACGGGCCTCCTGAAGGGTGCCTGCGAACAAAATGATTAAAGGGATGGGTGACATGGCTGGATGTGAGCAACGGATCGCAAAAGTACATCGATGCCTTCATAAATCCTTGCTCGATAGAGAGATACCAGGGTAGCTTTCCTCTGCTGAAATGAGGATGCTGAGATGGGCTTGTAAGTGGACAGGGCAATGGGTCGGAAAGAGGACGTGAGGCAGTCATGCGAACCGCCCCTGTAAAACACAAAGTGCGGGAACGACCAATGCGATGGCACGGACACGTGCTAAGAAGGCCACAGAATCAACCGATAGGAGGAGTAATGGACTTTGACGAGGGCAAGAGACCAGGAGGAGCCTCAGAGGAAAGTGGGAAGGACGTCATCAAGAAGAACCTAAATGATGTCGCGACAACGGCAGAAGCTGGCCTGGACAAAAGAACGTGGCGACGGCTAATAAATACAGCAGACCGTGCGACTGCGCGGGAATAACGTAGGGCAAAGAAGAAGATGACTCGAATTTTGGCTCAAACGAAGTTTAAAGGATGCCGACCGTTCCACCACACAAAAATGATTTTTTTTCAAAAAGTTAATAGAAAAGTAAATCAAATAACTTCTTCAAACACAAAATGAAACTCGAAGCAGTACTACCTGAATTTCAGATGGATTACTGTAGAGCCCACGAAGCTTTCCGTTGCAACATACATAATCGAGTGCACGAATAGTGGAGCAAACAGACACCTTCGTAAAAATAAAAGTAACTGGAAAATAATCGGTCACTGGAACCCTTGCACTGCTGAAACTTCGGCATACGCCGTACCTGACAAGACGCCTTACGGAATTCCTACCGATCTCCACATCAATGGCAATCTCCTTCACGTAACGAATTCCACCAATATTGGGTGTCTATCTAGGAACAAATCTTTCAACTATACGACAGAAAGAAGTGTACGAACTGTCTACCTTCTGAGAGAGCTCGTCCATCTTACCGATAATAGCACGGCTTAACTGTGTAGCTCTGGCGAACATAGGACCACATAGAGAATCACCTGAGTTCAAAAAAAAAAACTATCAGGCCCAGAACCAGATACATGATCCCCCTAACCACCCTACAAATCTTTGGAGGTTCTACACCACTGTAGGACGGGCACGACTTCAGGTACAACGCGATCAGGTCGGTGACAGGAAATGCGCATTCTCACAACTCAGTACAGATCACAACTTGCTCCACTTCAGTAGCGGAAAGGGTAGTGCTAAGAGTTTCATGGTCACAAATGAGTGACCTCACTCACACATAAATTCAGCCGACCAAACATGCACTGCTCACGGCATTTGAGATACTCGTTGTAGAGAGAACACATTCAAGGGTTAAGTCTCACAATGGCGCGACTACGCGCATAGATGGACGCTAAAAATCAAAAGTTCACAATCTGATGATGTCGCTACTACCACATATTCACCAAACTTGGATAAGAAAAGAATTAAACGAGTGGATGCTGTTCAGAAAAGGGATGCGCGCTGCTTGGAACAGCCTAACCAAAGAAAGTCGGCCCGGCCATCTGGAACACGGTATACACCATAACAATCGTCTCGGTTCACTGCGCTCTCTGATGTTTCCCATATCTGCTGAAGAAAGGTGTCTGGACGGAGTTACAAAGCGGAAATGCGCAGTGGTACAAGTTCGAGCTCACGGGCAGGAGGTTAATGAATCGACCCCTCATCACCTTCATTCTTTTGCTCTTTTCGATAACATAGCTG